GGAGCAATGGCTTAGTGATGCAAAGGATTCAATTGATGCAATTTCCTGCAAGGAATTTAATTCTTCAAAGGCATTTCCCTACTGGATTTTAAAATCAATCAAGTTGTCTTCACTCTGGCATAGCAACCCCTGTTGTAAGACCTTCAGGACGTAAAATCTAATTTTTTATGGCTTTCATTAAAATTCGAAAAACCTTGATCCTGCTGATTACCAGAGCCTGGCTACATACTGTAAGGTTTTGGTGGGTTTGGGTTGGGGTTTTGTTGGTTGTTGTTTGTTTGCTTTGGGGGGCTCTTTTTGCCTGATTTTTTTTCCTCAGTCCTGCACTCTAGGAGTGGAGAGCAGAATCCCTGGAAAAGCTCATGTGTCCTTGAACATGCTCCTCATTTCAAGGTGGTTCTGAAAAATACAGTACTTCAGGTTTGCTGATTAACCTCCCATGTTTCTCCTGCTATTGAATCACATGAAGCTGTTTCACCCCTTCTAAAATCAGCAAGGGTTGGCTTTGCCTCTCATTGGCTCCAGCTATGACTACTGGATACCAAATGTAGCTGTGATTTATGTTTCCCTATGGAAGCTACTTAGTTGAAGTGCTAATCCTGTGGTACTTTACAGTGAGAGGTTTGTTTTCTTCTTTTCTTCTTCATTTGGTGTGCCATTAATACACCATATTACTCTCCCAGTGGTGAACGTGGCTGGAAATAAAATTCTCAAAGTGTTTCTTTCAATCACTTTCAAAGGGAAATAAAATTGACAAAAGCAGGTACAAAACTTACTCATTTCTTGCCAAGTGATTTTTTCTTCTGTCTTTCAGAACTGACCTTTGCAGTTGCAGGCAGAGGAGGCAGCAACGTGTTGTACTGTTATTTTTAGCTGCAGGAGAAGGAGAGGAGTTGTCATGTTGATTAGGCAGCAGCACTGCCTGGGCTGCCGCAGGCCTCACAGCACTTCAGCATCTGCTGATAGAATCCAAGTGGAGGAAAGATTTTGCCCTTGAAAGCTCTGCTGTTGGCATGCTGTAAAGGGAAGTATTTTGTTACTTCAGCCTTGCAGCCCAGTTGAAAACAATAGTTGGGTGAAAATAACAGACACTGTGGTTGTTCTCTCACAATCTCAAAAATAATCTCCAAAACCTAAAATATTGCCTTTAAATGACAAATGTTTCTGAATCATTCTAATCTGGTAGTACTTTTAATCTCTGGCAGTGCTGGCAGCATGTTTACTGTTTAGAAAACAAAAGGAGAAAGTTTGAGTTTCTCATGGGAAATTGATCTCTAGGAAGAAGTTCTCACTGTGAGGGTGGGCAGGCCCTGGCACAGGTTTCCCAGAGCAGCTGTGGCTGTCCCTGGTCCCTGGAAGTGTCCAGGCCAGGTTGGATGGGGCTGGGAGCACCCTGGGATAGAGGAAGGTGTCCCTGCCCATGGCAGGGATATCCACTGGATGATCTTTAAGGCCCCATCCCAGCCAAAGCATTCCATGAGTCAATGATTAAAACCAGTTTTGGAAATCACTGTAGAAAACTGCATAGTTTTCATATAGAAATATTAATGGTATTTTAATAGAAAGCCTGGCAAGGCCTGAGCTGGAGGTGGCCAAACCAGGTCCCCTGTGCCCATTGTAGCACAGGGCTGGGTACCTTAGATAGACTGAGGTGCAGCCAGGATTATACTCTGCACAGGGCAAGGCTCTCCATGCCTTTCATCTGGACAGGCATCAGATATTCCTGGTGAGGGGTTGTCTGATCCTGGATAAGATGTGCCTTTTAATCTCTGCTAATATGGAAGCCAGACTGGAGAGAGAGCTCTTAGAATGGGTTATGGTGCTTCAAGGAGAGGCCTTTCAGTGCTCAGCATGACTAGGAAGAGAGTAATTCACAGCAACTTGTGGAGTTCCTTCTTACTCTTCTTTGCAGTTCTTTCTTAGACCAATTGCCCAAGTAATTAAAAGAAGAAAAGAAGAAAGAAAAGAAGAAAATTAATTTTCAGGGTACCAGGAAACCATAATCTCTCAGCCTTGTTTATTTGCCGTAAGATTTGGGGTTTTTCTGTTCATACAGTCATATGCTCAGCTGGTTTTAAAACATGTACTAAAACCTGAAACTCTTTTAATGCTATTCATCCAGCTTATTTTTCTGGTTAATTTTACTTTCAATGGGACAAGGAGTGGAAATCTGTTAATTTTCATTTTTATTTTAAATTCACCTCTGTTACTTAAGTGTAGAAGGTAATTAAAGCTCTTTCAAGGCAAAAGGCTTCCTTATTATGATGTTGCACTTTTATTTTTTTATATGAGACTAGATTAGTAGGAAAAGTGTTAGACTCTCTGCTATAGAGGTGGGAGCTTGGACATGAGTGACGTAATACTGGATGTTTTTTGGTTTTATTTCTGATCTGGAGCTAATAAGAAAATGCCTTCTTTAGAATCTCCTCTGTATAATTAATCGTTAATTTTTCTTTTTGCTTTTCTGTTTCGTTACTTCATTGGGGTGCTTGTGGGTACCTCACTGTCTCACTGGGGTATTGTGCTCTCAGGGTCCAAAAGGGAGGTACTTCATTTCTATTTTGTTTGAAGTACTAAGGCAAATAACTGCTAGAGATAAGTACCATTATTAAAGTAGGCATTTTTAATTTTAGTCATCAACTACACATCAAAAATAGCCATTCTGAGTTCTCTAAAATGCTGACATAGCCTGAAAATACTGGAAGCTTGTCTTGCTTTTGTTCTTTTGAAATATAACCCAAAGAAGATTAGTACCTTTACCACAAAAACATAAGTCTTTCAAAAACATGTTAAGATTGAAGGGTTTGACTTCCCAAAATAGGCAACATCAGAATTCAGGGAGTATCTGTGAGCTTCATTCAGTTTTTTTTACATGTTTGCATTATGATAGTATTTTATCCTTTTGGTTAAAAGCTAAATATTAAATTCTGCTTTTGTTGTGGTTTAGCAGAACTTGAGCTAACAGGGCAGTGCCACTGGGAAGGATTCTCTGCAGGAGCCTGCCCTTGGCAAGGATGGGTTTCACCAGTGATTACTGCCAACAGAGGAGTGTTGAATGCAGGAAGATGCTTTTTTCTTTCAAAGTCTGTGGGCAACTTGCTTGTTCCTCTGTGAGCCGAGTATCCTCCACCAGCAATTTGTCCCAAACTCTGTGCCAAAACCGTGTCAGCCTCACTCTGAGGTCCTCACACTCTTTGCACAAGCTCTTTCTTGCTGTTTTACTCTGTAGTTTCTTGTTCCTCCCTGCAGCTCCTTTGCTTATGAGCTCAGCACATCTTCCTACTCCCTTTTTCTAAGGATCAGAGATCACAGTGCTCCACCAGGTCCTTATCTCTAAGAATGTAAAAGCCTACCTGCAGCATCTGCCAGAGGCAGTGAAATTCTCCCTTTCTGCTCAAGTATGGAGATAATCGTAGGGACAGCACAGAAGATTAAACCTGAATTTTCTCTTGACTGGTTTGTGTACTTCTGTTGTTAGAAACAAAATAAAACAGAGAGAAAAATCAAACCAAACACCACAATCCCATGACAACCCCAAAACGCAACTTCCAGCAACTTTAGTCTGCCTCTGTCTCATTCACTTGGTGCAAGAGTTTCTAGAGATCCCAGCAAATCTTCCAGCTCAAAACAAGGGCTGGGTTTTCTGTGGGGGAAGTCACAAACAGGAACAACAAATTTGAATCTCACAGTAATCAAGCCATCAGCTGTCTTTGTTTTATGAACAGCAGCTGAGCTGGGAGGCATAATTAGGGTAATGGTTTCTGGCTCCAGCTGTGTCTCACTACAGAACAAAGAGAGCTCAGCAGAGATTTTGTAGTATAATACACTTTTCCCCACTTCTGCTTGGGAGAATTATCGAAGATTACTCGATGGACTGGGACTGTGACTCAGATACAAGTGAACATCAGTATTTTTCCACAGAGGGTGTTGAAAGCTCACAGGATTTTGCAGAACCTGCCATCAGCATTGTGCTTGCCTCCAGCCCAGGGTTAGCCAGGTGCTCTGGTGTAGACAGGCTTTACCAAGTACCTCTTGGTATTTTTATAATTCTTCCAGAGGATTCTAAGTAGGTGTTGAAATTTTTCCCCAGACCTTTTTTGTGTTTTGAGTCCTGGATCCCTTGTGTGACTAAGGAGTTTCCCTGGGATAAGGTATGGGGTTTGCAAAGTATATTCTTTTTGGATGAAAGGAGCTATAGAAATGGAAGTTTTCTGATGTCCCACATGGATAACTGCCAGTGGGATGTCTGCCTTTTGCTGTGACCCACTGAGCTTGGAGAGGGATAAAAGTTAAAGCCTGACCTAAGTTCTAGCTAACAAGGACCAGCTGGGTCACAGAAAAGGAGGTGGGAAGGGAAATATGGGGAAAATGAGCTTGGCTTTACCAGGGGCATGTCTGGAAGATGACAGGGAATTTGCAGGATTCCTTAGGCCTAGAATCCAGGATGTGGAAGGTATGTGTGGCACTTGGGGTGGATACTGGGTGGAAGAGGAGCTTGGTGGAGTCCATCTCATTATCCACTTGCTGTGGCTTTGAGTGCTACACAGCTCCCAGGAAATGTAGTCTCTCATATTGAGATACTTAACAGTTGTGTTAAAGCCTTTTGTCTAGAAGTCAGTGTAACAATATGATTTTACTTTAATACCTTACAGTGTAGCTCAAATCATAGAAAGACTGAAAGAACTCAAAAGCCTGATGGGCAGAATGGACAGAAAGAAATATAGGCATATGTCAGTGCACAGTACTTGAAAATGTAAATTTATTAATTCAGCTGTGTGTGTTATATTGTAAAATCATCTGTCTGTTAAAAATGACTGCAAAAGGAAGTTGAGAGTTGTGCTAATTTGACATTAACAAAGTCTCCCTGGCTGTGACACAGGCAATAATGTGATTATTCTTTAAGAAGTGCAGCGCTGCCAAAAAAGAAGATGACAGCTTTGTGTACAAATTGATCCAAAGATCTCTTCTATTTATTTATGTGCTGTGATGTTTCATTCCAGGTGATCAGCTTCTTCAGCTCCCGATTAGAGCAAGCTGGAGCTGAGCTGTCAGTGGAGCGAGTTCTGGAAATCATCAAGCAAGGAGCTGTTGCTTTGCCCAAAGACAGGCTAAGAGTAAGTGCTCAAGACCTCATCACTTAAAGTATACTGTTCCTATCAATTACACATATATGCCCTTTATATCTGTAATTCCAAAAAATCATCTCTCCTCTCAGTAGTGACTGATAAGTGATTACACTGTCGATTGCCATATGTGTATGTTTTCATTTAAATTCATAATTTCTGCTAAGTGTTTGGGTGAGTTTTTGTGATTAGTTATTAAATTGAAGTGTGTGGAGGAATTAAAATTTGCTGAAGCTAAGGTTTTCTTCAACGTATCCTGAAGATGCAGGCTCCTCTCTCCATCTGTTGTTTAGTTATACTGTAACCAAACACTGGTAATTCTGTCTTTTGATTAATTTCTTTTTCTGTCTCTAGTGTTATTTTTCTGTTTCTAGTGTTCTCATGCACCTTTGTCTTGTACTATGTTAAATGCTATAAAGATAAATTTGGAGGGCTTTAGTTAAGAATTACCCAACCTAGGGAAAATCAGTTCAGGACCTGTAAGTCTGGTCAACATGATGATGAGCTTTCTGTATAATCCGTAGCAGTCCCCTCCATTCCTTTCTGAGAACCTCTCAAATCTCTTGAGGGATTTACCAACTTGACAGGTTTTGTGAGGCTAAAATCCATTAATGGCTGTGTGATGTTTAAATACTGCAATAAAGAAATCTGTGTAAGTGGGTAAGTAAGCAAATGGGAGCTGTGTGTGTTTTTTAAACACGATGAATCTTGTTTCTCTGTTATGCCAAGTGTATTTTAAATACTATCTGTTTTCTGCAGAACTATTTTTGTTGCTACTCTGTGATAAGAGAGTAGCATTTTTCTTTTGCGGTAACTTTAGTAAAATATCCTCTGATAAGGCACACTGAGTCTGTACAGCCAATGGCAGTGGCTGGTAATTTATTTATATGCTGGTAATTTTAAAACACCCAGTGGGAATTTTCTGGCTGGCTGCGTATACTAATGTCTTTCCTGCAGTTCCCTGTGTCCCTGAGATGGCACATCTTCACTCACTCAGGCTGAATTCCTTCAGGAGAGGTCGGTCTAGAGTCTGAGTCCTGAGCCACAGTACAGGAATAGCCTGAGTAACACCAGAGCAGTTGTTGGGTCCAAATCCAGCCCTTCAGGTTGTCCTTTCTGTGTGGTGATGCTGTGAATGCAGAGGAACACTGGAATTTCGGCGGTTTCTATGACAACTTGTTCTGATGTGCAGATAATTAAAACCCCTTATGTTGAGACTACACCCTTCTTGACACAGAGCCATCACCAAATCAACTCACCGCTTAGGAAAAAATGAAGGTTTTCTCAGTTGCTGAGTGTGCCACATTGACTGATATGTCAGGCCACAATTTACAGAAATGCTGTTTCTGGAGTGAAATCCCATCAAGTTTCAATTTTCTGCACTAACGATATACAGTATTCAAAATTATATGTTTATATTGCCACTTAAAGTTACAAACCAGCAGTTTTTGGTGTGTGCCAAGCTCTGTAAGTCCTCACCAAACTGTCAAGTACTTCTAGTTTTAAGGATGCTTAGTGTTGCTTGAAGGACTTCCCTTTCCTCTGGAGCACTTGAGTTTTGGACAGACTTACAAAGGGAAGCCAGCCTGGCACATGAGTCTTCTATACTGACCATTTTTACCTACTGAGTTTTGTCTTTTTGTTTTTCTTTGGTTTCCTTTTTTTTTTCTTTTTTTTCCCCCAATTTTTCCCCTTTTTTTATTTTTTCTTTTCTTTCTTTTTTAATGCTTTTGCTGAGCAGCAGTTTAGCCAGAGCAGGTTACTTTTCCATGTAGAAAAGGTGACATTGATCTTGGGATGGGGGTGTTTGTATATATATAGGTATGTATGTATGTATGTATTGTCATGCATCAATTTGGACATGCAAATAACATCCTTCCTTTGCAGAGGTAGTGATGAGGAGCAGCACATGTTTCCCTCCTCTAGGAATGGCCTTGTGAGTTTTTGTGCCCTCTGTCCATGTGCCTCTCTCCTGGGAGTCTCCTGTTCCTCAGGTCTTCCCACTTAAGTCTGAGGTTTTCAGGGGAAGCTATTCTAAAGCTCAACAAACTCATATTAAGATCAGACTGAAGATATAGTTACACAATAGCTCTGGCAACTCAGAGGCACTTGAGCAGCTAAGTAAAGGAGAAAGCTTTAATCCTTAGGTCTTTAATGACACTCTCTGGGCAAGTCTGGATGGGTGGGAGCAGCCCTACCCACTCTGGCTTTGATGGCACCTTTCAGGAAGTTGTGCAGAGCCACAGGGGCCCCCCTGAGCCTCCTTTGCTCCAGGCTCAGCCCCTTCCCAGCTCCCTCAGCCTCTCCTGGGGCTCCAGCCCCTTCCCAGCTCCGTTCCCTGCCCTGGACACGCTCCAGCCCCTCAGTGTCTCTCTTGTGCTGAGGGCCCAGAGCTGTCCCCAGCCCGTTTGGACAATGTCTGGAGGAATTAGGAATCTGTTGCATCCATGTTGACACAACCTACACGTAGTTCCAATGTGCAAAGCTGTGGAGTTCAATCCCAAGAATATATCTATATGTGTGTGTCAGCTTTGCAGTTAATTGCTAACTAATTTTCAAGCCATCCTTGCCTTTTGCCACTGCATACTGAAGTGCTGTAAAGTACAAGAGACCCTGCAGAGATATTATTCCTGCCTCCTAGAAATAACCATCTTCAGCTGAAGCACTCTGGGGGAGGCAGTTGAAACATGGATGTGATTTGGAAAATGAGGGCTGAGACAGAGCTTTTACTCAGTCACTTCCCTGCAGCTCAGACAATGATGTTTTTTTCTCGTGTGTACCTAATGTATGCACGGATGTTTTCAAGTGAATGTTTCCAAGTTGCTTATCTTGGCCTTTGTCGAGGAAGTGAGCATTCAAGAGGTGCTACATGTATTCAGGTTCTGAGTGTGTTGCTGAGCCCATAGTTCAAACATGAATCAACGTCAACTAAAAATAACAGCACTTAGAGCCACGATCCTCATCTGCATAATGGAGCTTATCAGTTTGGGAGCACACCCTGGTGCTCCTGCTCCCTTCCACTGTGGGAAGCAACACGGGATGCAAAGTGAGCATGGGTGGTAGCAGTAGGTCATGGATAAATATAAATATATATGTGTGTGTGTGTCTGTGTTAGGAAAGATATCCTGCATTTTCTTAGCAAATAATTATTGGGAAATGGGAGATCTAACTCAGATTTTCCTTCTAGTCCTGGAGCAGTCTGACTGGAGACAAACAATATAATTAACATTATTTTAAGCATATGCTTTTAGCTGTGTACTGTGGAAGGCCAAGAAAGTCCAAGCTGAGCAATTAGCCTTTTAGAAGACTTCTGCACAAACAGAGAGATAAAGGGCAGGTGCTGAAATCAAGAGCTGGTTATTTCTCCCTCAGTCTGTGGGAGGAGATAAATGGAGTTAATATGCCCGGGATGGAGGCAGAAGCCATGGCGTGGAGATAGAGCTGTCTCCTTCGCAGACGTGCAGCCCACAATCCAGGCTCCCTGCTATATTGCAGGAGCTTATTAAAGGCAATTTAGAGATCATAGTGATAGGTGAAAATTAGCCTCATTCTTTCTTTCTCTTTATTTTTTTGAAAGTTCTCAGGCTGCCTTCCTTCCCTTTGGTGACCTATCTGTACTTTCAGGATTAGGAGAGTGAGAGAAGCAGGACCGTGTCTGGAGCCTGTGACTTATCTCAGGATTTTGAGGGGAGTTAGCCATCAGATAACAACAACAACTCTTCTGCAATAAGTGGGAAAACTTGTTTCAAATGCCAGCTAGTGACTGGAAGCTGACATTTGGTTTTATGGAATGATCACACTTGGGAGGCCATGTTTAATGCTTTATAAAAGAAAAATTCCCATTACCTAAGCCACTTAAGATGGAGATTTGTTTTTCATGAGCATTTTCTGATCTGCTTGTGTTTTTCCCCCACTCCTTTTCTCCCCATGTCAATGAGTATTTTGTCATCAGTGTGCACTTTGTCAGATGTTCTTTGTGTGCTATGCAGACATGCCATTATGCCATCAACTCTCACAATTTTGATATGGTACAAAATTTAATATTTATTGAAGTGCATTTGAGTTCGATGGGCATTAAAATTTCACAGAATATGTAAAAGGAGCAGAGGTAAAAGCCTTCAGTCTCTTGACAGAACAAGTTTCACTTTAGGTGTTAAAAGCACTTCTCATAGGTTTCCTCTTCTATTAACAATGTACTTCCAACTCCATCAGCTTCCATTTGTTTCACTGAAAAAAGCTGCTAATCACTGAGGCACCAGAGCACAGGGGAAGAGTAAATTGTCATCATGGTGATGGCAGATACTGCCTGGGAGGTGGACCAGAGCAGCTTTATATCTCTGGCACATCACCCTGGGGAAGCAGCCCCAGAAATTTAGCTACAAAAAATTATCGTAAAAAAAGAGATGGTTGTTGAATGAGGTGGCAGTGAATTCAATAAGGGATGTCAAGCACGGGTGCTTTGGTAGTATCACCGATTCATTTAGGTTGGAAAAGCCTTCCAAGACCACCAAGTCCCATCATTTCCCCAGCACTACCCAGATAACCACTAACCTATGTCCCCCTAGGGCCACATCCACATGGCTTTTAAATCTCTGCAGGGATGGGGACTGCAACACTGCCCTTGGCAGCAAGGGATTGACAGAGCTTTATGTAAAGAAATTTTCCCTGCTGTCCAACCTGAGCCTGCCCATGCCCAGCCTGAGGCCATTCCCTCTGCTCCTGTCCCTGTTCCCCGGCTGTCCCCTCCTGTCAGGAGCTGTGCAGAGCCACAAGGGCCCCCTGAGCCTCCTTTGCTCCAGGCTCAGCCCCTTCCCAGCTCCCTCAGCTGCTCCCCATCAGACTTGTGCTCATGGCAAATCAGAAATCAGGAATGGCCATAAAAGAAAGTGCGTGTGAAGTCTCCAAAACCAAAGGAACCTAAATGATTTCTTGGCTTGGGTACTGAGCTCTCTTTGGAAGAATTTTCCTGCTTCTGCAGATGTTCCTTCCAG